GTGCAGGGGATTTCTGGGAAGTCTGTGTTCAACGAATTCTAAAGGGAAGCGTACTAATCCTATGGTTCTCAAATTTTTACACAAGGTAGTTGACATCTCAATCTTGAAAACGGTGTATGGCACGTCCCTATTAGACTTCTGTGGAGAGAGATATGCTCTCCCAACATTCACCAAAAATCTGCCATTTTATAGAAATCTCGACAGCATCTCCTTTGTTTTTCTAACATATCCCACTTTTGTAAAAGTGTGTTATCTATCATAAAGGGTACCTAATAGACATGGGTGGCACTTAAAGACCAACAATGTCTTGGTGCTTTTACAACCCATCACAATTTATATCAATTCGCTTACTTTACAACTCATTAATTACATTATCAAAACTTAAACCATTACAATCACTTTGATCCATTTACATGCATTCTTTAGACATAAAACATAAATCATATCCTACAATAGGCCTATTGCCCTTTCATCATATAGCATACTTCAATGTTACACAAGAGCCAATATTACAATTACAATCCTCCATTTACAACAAATTACAATAATTCTTCAAATACAACATGATGAATCCTAAAAAAAAACATGGTAAATCATGACTAAACTTAGACAAAATATGACATGAACAAAGATGACAATATGAATAATCCTAAATCACATACAATGTTCATGTCCTAAGTCTAGCTAGGCCCAATGGCCACAAAATGCAAAATGGCTCTAAGCTCTCATGCTCATCCTACAGGCCTCTTGCCCGCCGCTCCAATCCCACTGCCACTACCTGAAATAAAATTCCCAAAACGGGGTGAGATATACGAATATATCTCATTTACCCAAGGGTTCTGGAGATTAATCCGCCCAATGACTCACTCAGATGTACATCAATAATATACCACAACATACAAAAAGGGATAAAGCAAGGGATTTAGTGAAGTAAGGAAGCATAGGGAGTAAAAATATGATGAAGCTGAAACGGTCGATGCCAAAGCCACGCAACATCCGGCCTATTGGCCTCGGCATATAGCCTACGGGTTCTCATCCAAGGAAGTGTTCCTAGAACATTAACCAAGGCACCCTCCATCCATATTCACCCGAGACTTTCCTAGTGTGCTCCTCAACGGATAACACATCATGAACCCAGGTCAATTGAAACTCCTTCATGGAGACCTATCTAGTGGAAGTCCGTAACGCCCGAAGGCAACAGTCTATTGGCCAGAGACACGGTATATTCTATGTACCACTATACATACATAATGCATGAGCATGTTATACTATACTACCAACATACGCCTCCAACCACTACCTCCAAGAGGCATGATGGAGCACACACGGGGACTAAACCCTAGTACCAAGGGATTACCTGATGAAATCTCCCTCACTTGATAGCTCCAATTTAATACGTCATCGAGCTTGGTACCACAAGAAATACCTACACATAGGCCATTTCCACTACAATTATAATCAACCAAGACATATACATGATTATTAAAGAGTTCATGTATATATTCATAACAACTCACCAAAATCCCTTTGGTCAAGGACCAAAGGCAACCCACCAAGCTCAAAGCTCCGAATTTACGTCTGTGGGAGGCAACCTACAATGATCACACAAGGATCATCAGCACAAGGTGCAGCCAAACAAGATTATAAGCACCAAAGTCCACCCACCCCACAATACAAGATTCGGCCATAAGGCCTAAAATTACCAAACAATTGTATTAATTTTATTTCAAGGTTTCTATGCCTTCACAAGCTTACCACAACACCCATTTAAGTCCCAAGTTCCATGTAATACCATCATAGCACCAATTTTCCTTAATTTCCCATAAAGGGTCGAATGCACACACTCACACGCTCCAAATATTTTTCTTTCCAATCCAATGCATCCACACAAACATACAACCCATTTAAACACCATTCATAACCATACAACATCAATTATACAATTTTTACATCATCAAACCCCACATGCCCTCACATGGCCGAACTGCTCATGCCCACATACCTAGGGGTATTCAATCCAATTTCACATTTCCACACATCATACAATCCTACAATTAACTCATACAAATACTCCACAACTCAATTACACAATCCTACAACCAAGTCATTTCACAAAGTCATAAACATCATCATCAAAATTGCCTAAGTTACCAAATAACTTCTCAATAATTTTAATGGTTTCTATCACTCTAAAACATCATTCTAAGCCATTTTCATCTAATACACAATTTCAATTTGAGCTCTCTAACTACATCAATTCATACACACTAGCTGTAGGTCACAAAATTCTATCCAATTCAAAACCAAAAATTGGAGGAGAAAGCTTACCACCAATCAACTCCTAGGCATTCCAAGAATGAGTTTCAACCCTTGAACGGTCCAAAACTGCCACCAACCACCCTCCTTGGCCACCAAAATTGCCACCCTAATTGGAAAATGATATCCTCTTTCACTCAATTTCGTGGCTCACTCAAGTAAGGAAAGATGCTCACAAGGTGATTTGGAACAACTTTGATGTTTTACACTTTTGGATTTGGTGCATGGAATCAATGGAAAAATGGATTTGAAATCCTTGTCTTCCTTGCTAATGGAGGCCGTGGCTTTGCTGGAAAATGAGGGGGGAAGGAGCTTTCTTTTTGAGTTTGCACATGTGTGCATTGGTCCAATTAAGTGAGGTGGGCTCCACGGGTGCCACCTCAACCTAAAACTAATTCAAATCTCCCGCTATTCCACTAAACGTCAATAATTTCTTAAACTATTTAAAAAATCTAATTTTTAACATTAATCACTGTCCTTTAATTGTTCTTGATTAGATAAATTCGGAGTTTTCCGGTCGTTCGGAGAAATCACAGTTTTAAGCTGTTATGCGCGTTGTGGACACGCTTCCTCAAACACTCTAATTTCCATCAATTTTCACCAGAAATCATATTTCCTAGTCCTATGTGTCATTTATAACTTATATCCAAACCTAGAGCTCAAAATTCATTCAGCACGCTTTACGGTGCCTCAATTCTTGGTCAAATTAGGTTCATGATATGTGAAATTGAAGCTTGAGGTGTCTAGTTTTCTGAATAAAAATTTAAGAGAAATTGGTGGAGTATTTTGTCCGGAATCGTGGAAAGAGTAAGGGATGTTTGGAGGCCTGTTTGAGGATGGCTGACAGATTTGCTTATCCAACTTCAAACGGTGATAACCGAAGCAAACAAGAACTTTTTGGAGCGTGTGATAGCTTTTTGGAAAGATAGTTAAGTCTAGAATAACATACTAAAAGACGGGTGGTTCACGACACGCAGATTTTCTGCAATATCCAAAAGACTGAACCATGTTCGGATAGGTAGAAACCGTAAAAGTGAGATTTATGCTAAGTGGGTTTATGGGAACCCCTTAGTGACTTGAGAGAAGTATTATATGATAGTTAAAAAATTAATATTATTATTTCGCAATTAGTTTTCAGGTACGGTCACAACTTTTATTAATTACGCTTTATTATTGTTTTAAATGCTCGTGTAATGAAAAGGAAAATGTTTACTCGCATTTTTATAAATGAATTGTTGTGATGGTAACTGCGCTTAATATCATAATCAATGTTAACAACACCAATACGTAACGGTCTATTACATTTTATGCTTGGAACATCCGCTATCAAGGTACCACTTGGTGTTTTTTGCCTACAAAACAAGTAAGTTTACTTGACTTTTGGTACCCAAAGGCTCTTGGGTCCATTTTGGTTAGGTATGGGCAGCAGCCCATCATTTGAAAATAGTGGGTTTAAAGTGTCTTTTATAATCCAAATTTGTTTGTAACCTTTCATATTTTTCCTATACTTGCATTGGTAAGAATTATGGCCTTTTCTTCAACAATAATTGCATTTAATGAATAGTGTAAGAACCCGATCGTTAAATTAAGAATTTAAATAATTTAATTATGAATTAGAAAATAATTCCATAATTGACGTTGGATAAATATAGAAAGATTATAACAATTATTGAGAAGGTCAGATAATGCTTAAATCACTTTTCTGATGAAAAGTGCAGATACTGGTTATGCTTCACGGTGTAAATGTGTATCAGTGAAGTATTCCAAAAAAATATAATAAAAATACAAATACTCCTAGAAAAATATTTAGGTCAAGGATATCAAGTTTCGAATCTTTTGATGGAACTCATTTATCAATATCTATAGATAAATGATTTCTTTTTTCATGAAGAATGTTTAGATAAAAATATATATTTGATATACACACATTCTAAGACGTGCTTCTTTAATAAATAGAGATTTTTCTTCTAATTTTTTAATTTTTAATTCTGATAATACATTACACAATATATGTATTTAATAAATAATGTGCACGAGAATAAATAAATAAATAAAAAAGTTATTTTTTTTTACAATTTCTGTTCTTGAGTTATTGGTTTATTTTCTGGAATAGAAAAAATAAGTTGAATTTATTAAGCATAAATTCTAATCATTTTTATTTTATAGATTAAAAATTGAAAAAAAAATAGAAACTTTATGATTCATATCCTAAGTGAGTTAGAAATGACTATATGATGTGTTTCAATAAAGGTAAAAATTTGAGTTGCTGGGACACGAACATGACATAGATATTTATTTATGTCAAAACTCTATATTAATATGATGTATACTTATTTACCATACAGGACGATAGAACACAATACATCAACTAGTTATTTTACTTTTCAAATAAAAATAATTTAGATAACTTCAAATTAATAAATAAAAGTGGATAAATGAGACAAATATGTAATTATATAATTATTTATTTTAGACAGTGCACACCAACATGAATACTCATGAATGCATATAAGGATTGAGACAAACACAAAATGTTAGCGGCATATTTGAGTGTTGAAAATTGACACTCCTAATTTTAAACGTTTTCCTTGTCCTCTTTTTCCTTTTTTATTTTATTTTCGGTTCAAATAGAGAGATTAATTATGTACGAGAAAAATAGAAACTTTAGACCAGCTAAACTGTTATGCATAATTGACAGGATACTAAATCTTGTAATGACAAAAAGTGACACAGAAAGACCGTACAACCCGACTGACATCACTATTACAGCGCAATTAACTACTATGTTTCTACTCAAATATTTAATAAAAGTATTGCTAAAATAAAGCTGAAACATCGATTGATTGACCAATTGTAGCAATTAATAACAATTAAGCATTGTAGAGAAAGAGAGAATAACTTATTGTCAACACCTAATTTATTAACAGCAGCCACAAAACACCACCGATGCAGCTGGACCATCCAAACACAATCCGAGGCTTCTTTTGGTTTGATGAGTCCTCTTTGTTATGACCTTTCTTAGGCTCTTCATAATATTCATCCTGATCTTCTTCATGTTCTTAATCTTCTTCCTCATTACATGCTGCTATATATTTTGGATCTCTTCAATTCTAACTTGTTTCACCAAACAAGCTCCCAGACTAATTCCTTTCATCACCAACTTTCTATCGCTATCTCCAGATAACACTGAAATAAAAAATTAAATAATGTTAAAGGATCATCAAGCAACAAAATGAAGCCCCAATACATAATACCTCGAGAAAATATTCTTAAATTATACAGAAAGAAAACAATAAAATCAAAACCTCAAAATTAAAAATAATAATAATAATAAGAACGGTTGAAGATCACATAAAACTATCACAAACATATAATAGGTATGTCCATCCAAAGTCGAACGAGCTCAAGCAGCACGAGTTCACCCATTTTAGGCATGTGGAGATCACGTCAAACTTGTTTTCTCTCAACAACATTATAGCCGTCATTGCCTTTATAGTCGTGCTTACTACAAAATAAATAATTACAATAAATTTTATTCTTTACGAACAAAATGAAATATTGCAAATACAAGCATAATACAAAACCTATAAAAAGTTCATTAAATGATTTCCAATCATAGGAAGCTAGTAACATCCAGCATTTGAAGCCAGTAATTTAATTGAACACAACGTTTCGCAAACAATATCAAAGAAAGATAAAAAGTTAAAAAAAAAAATTATGGATGAAGAGTCACATTGACAAGACAATGTAAACAAATAAGATATTTGACGGGAAAATGAATAAACTTCATTGATATTTCACACAAATATATACAGCTGTGTAACAAAGAAATCAATAAAAGATTTGTTACTTTAAAAACCAAACAGAAGAAAGTAAAAGAATCAACTTGAAAAAATTAAATTTACCGAGAAAATGGAAAAAAAAGGAATATGTTTTTATTCCAATAATAATACATCTAGACTAAAAGAAACAAAAACACCCAATGGAAAAGCCACATCCTCATTATTTTCAATTTTTCACCAACAGAAGGTACAGACCGTGGTAACACAATGTTTCAGGAAAAACGTCAAAGAATTAAGAAAAAAATTATAAATAATTCAATTGACTAATATTAGCATTGAGTAGATATGTAGAAAAAAAATTATTTGACGGGAAAATGATTAAACTTCAGTGATACTAATTTCACACAAATATATACAGGAGTATACAAGTGAGTTAAAGAAATAAATAGAAGATTTTTTTACATAAAAAATCAAACTGAAAAAAGCTGACAGAAAGAACTAGACATAAGAAAAAATATCTGTTATTATTCCAATTGAAAACCCACATCAAAAATGAAAGAAAGAAAGAAACATAGATATACAGTATTAATGGATTATATATATTTCTCCGACTTAAAGCAATAAATATTCTATGTTAGTTTTTTTTACATGAAACACCAACTAAAAAAACTAAAAAATTTAAATATATATATATATATATATATATATGTAAAGAAGAAGCTTATTTAAGAGAATACGTTCTCGCAGAAACAAACTGAATCTGTTATTATACCAAAAATATGTCTAGGCCAACAGAAAAACACAATTGGAAACCCACATAGTCAATATAAGAAAAAAATATAGAAATTAAAAAACATTTTTAATTAGGATTTTAGACCGAAAGAAACATCAGCATACCATCGAAAAGTCACATCCTCAACATTTTCAGAAAAATAGAAAAGAGACGAGAAGAAAAAAAGAAAAGAAAAGAAAGAGAACAAGTAATGTACCATGGTATTGACACCTTCAGTGTTGTCGGGAGATAGTGACAGAATGCTGGTGATGAAAGCAATTAAATTGGGAGCTTCAGATTATTTGGTAAAACCAGTTAGAATTGAAGAGCTCCAAAATATTTGGCAGCAGCATGTAATGAGGAGGAAGATTAAGAAGCAGGAAGAATTTCAGGATGAAGATTATGAAGAGCTTGAGAAAGGTCTTAACCAAGAGGACCCATCAACCCAAAAGAAGCCTCGGTTTGTTTGAACGGACAAGCTGCATTGAAGCTTTGTGGCTGCTGTTAATCAAAGTGTTGACAGTAAGTTATTCACTCTCTCTACAATGCAAAATAATTGTTATCTTAATATTGTTATTAATTGCTACAAAAGGTCAATGAATTGATGTTTCTACTTTCTTTTAGCAATATTTTATTAAGTTACTGAATTGTGTTATTTTGATTGCAGAGGCCGTACCTAAAAAAGTTATTCAATTCATGAATGTCGAGAACATCTTTTAAACAAGAGTAACCGAAGAAACTAATAATATTAATAAACATTGATACTCAATATGCATTACTCATTCTACATAATTTTTTTTTAAAATTTTTTTTCCAAGGATGTCCTCACTCATTTGGACTAGACTAATCTCTTCCTAGAGTAGAGCACATAACGATTTTTATCAGGATGTAATCGAACATATTTGAAAAATAAATCATTCATCTATATATCTCTTGAATTTCACTGTTATTAGTTGGTTACCTTCATTTTATTCTCTCAGGGAATCTGTTACAAGGATGGTCACCCTCTTTTATTATTCCCTTCATCATATCTCATTTTGCACTCATCATCCAAATAAATATTATGTTTAATTTAGCTACTACTAAAATTAATCTTTCTTACTTATTTATATTAGATTCAAATATATTAAAGTTTTATTTATTTAATGTTATATTTACATCAAATAAAAAATTGCGTGTGGATTTAGACCAATTAAGGCTCTAGTGAGAAGCCAAAGAAAGTCTGATTAAAAGAGCAACAAGAAGGCCAAAGAAAGCTTGAGAATAACCATTTACATAGACCTTAATCTAGATGGCTTTAATGAAATTTTGGTTATTGATACCACTGTTTAGAAAAAATTTAAAAGACGCTTAAGCAGTGAGAGCTAAAAGCAACAGCAAATACCTTTCTGATTGCAGGGGAATTCCTTCAAGATTATTTTAATTCTGCAACTTAGAAAGTGATAGTCTTACTGTGATTCAACCACCTCACACCCATTTAAGAGATTCTCATACAAATGAACCTGTATAAGAGTATACAAGAGTAAATAAGAGCACATCGTTTAAAAGAATAGAGGTCATGATCAAAATTGAAGAACTATGGGAGTGTAAAGTTCTTATCAAACTACAACACCAATTGGAACGAAACATAAGGTATAACAAGTTTACTAATTCAAGTAATAATGGCTGGGTAGCAAAGATACGACAATATGATGATAGTAATGAAATAGCCATGTCCCATTATCTTTCAAACATATTAAAACAATTGATTTCTTTGTGTTCAACACTTAATGTATTATTGAGTACTCTTCACTATAAAAGCCTCTCAACAGAAGCATAGCAAAATGCAAGCAATTGAATAATAAAATACAAACAGAGTTTTCAACTCCCATGCATATAAATTCAGAAATGCGCTCATTGGCGAGGCTACTTAATCAGAAATTCAGTCTGTGATTTTATGGACCTTTTGTGATTACTAAAAGAACTGGTCCTGTTGCATATCAATTGAAATTACCTGATTATGCCAAAGTTCATTATGTTTTCCATGTCTCACAGCTAAAAAAGGCTATCAGCTCAGCGGCACTAGTTTCAAATTTTACTAGTTGTTTGGCAGAGGACTACGAGCTTCAAGTGCAGCCTGCAGATATCTTAGATGCCCGTCGTTTACTTAACGGTAAAGTCAAAATTTTAGTAAGCTGGTTCAACCTTCCTATTAAGGAAAGTTCATGGGAAGATTTGGAGACTTTTATAGATTTGGGGATAAGGTGAAAGTAAAGGATGGGGGTAATGTTGAGGCTATCAAACATGTTTACATTAGAAGGGGGAAAGGCCCAACAGGGCAGCAAAGGACTGGCCCAGAATTAGAAAGTCTAGTGCAATTTCAAGAAGGCTCAGGGGCTGACCCAAGAGCTGAGGTGGAGAAGGATGACGTGGAAAAGGAGCATAAAGATAGAGGAGATTACAGTGAGCGCGTAGAAGAAAAAGGGGAAGTTAGTTAGAAGGCGTGGGGAGCGAAAGGTGATGCTGGTGTGGGGGGATTTATAGGGGAAGGCAGCATCCAAATGGGGGAGGATTGGATAATGAATTAGTTGGGGAATGTAGGGGATCCATTGGGGACCTCTTGGGAGCTTTTTTCTTCTCTTTTCGGTGTCAAATACAAAGTGTCTCTTGCCGTTGTTTAATTTTCTTCATTGTAAAGAGCAGTGCTCTGTTATTCTATCAATACGTATTAGAAGGTTTCTTTAATTTTCTGTGTTTTATCAATTTTGATTCATCTGTTCCAACAAAGACAAATTAATTGTGATATGCTAAAAAATCTTGTTTCACAGCAAGCAAGAAAGCAATAATAATAATAATAATTCACAATAATAGCAATGGAAAGGCAATCACATGCATATCACCCAAAACTTTTGAAGAAGAAAAAAAGTAAGGAAAGAAAGAAAATCCATAGATGCTAAAAAAAGAAGTGAAAAGTTCATACTTGAAATAAGAAAATCTCCGTCCTCAACCATGAGTCAAAAGAGAAAGAATCAGAGAGAAAGCTAAAGAAAAACTAAGCATTATTCAGAGAAAAACTGAAACCGAATTCACTGATTACATATCTGAGTAGAGACCTCACTTATATAGACGATACAATGAATAAGCGTATATTCTAGAAGCTTCTAAAAGAGATCTGAACAGAATCTAACTACCTGACTGAAAATGACTGAACTGAAGCTGAGCTTCTAAGATTCATTAAGTTATAACAAACTTAACACTACAAACACAAGAGTCCAGATACAATGAACCATAGAGTACAAGTACATGACACACGTACTTGTAGTTTGAAAAAAAAAACGCAATAACACTTAAAATGGTACACAACCAACAAAATAAAACCTCTTTTATACATGCATGTTTTTAAAAGCAGAGGCGAAAGTAAGAATAATAATACCTTCATTAGCACCTTTTTGAGCTGCTTGTAGTTGTGAGTTGTGCATCGGCCAAAGGCAACCATTTTTTGTTGGGGAGTCGTTGATTGAAAGAAAGAAAGAAAGCATGAAGAAAACTTGAAGAAGAACATTCAAGTCAGATTCAATGAAATATTTTAGAAGGAAGAGATGATAACGAAAAGGTAACCATTTTTGTTGGGGAGTGGTTGATTTGATTGAACGGTGAGAAGAGAAGAGAAGCGGCTAGGGTTTTTCGTGGAGAAGAAAAAGAGGAATGAGTGACAGTACAATACAATGGGTTTTAAAGAGACAGGATCTGCAAACATTGCTTTTATGGGTTATGCATTGCAGGGCCACACTACATTATGCTTCTTGAAGCATCTTCGTTTGTGATAGAGGGATTTCTGAATTCTAAAGAAATGTCAATAAAAATGCTAATTAATATATCTGATTCTATATCTATACTACCGTAGAAGGGGATTCCATACTTTAGCGTCCATTTTTTATCATTTCAAATTCATCTTTGTTAATTATTGACTTGATTATGTACCAAAAAATTTATTGATTTAATTATTTAAAAAACATTAAAAATATACAACTTTAAATACATCTTAAAAGGATAAAATATAATCACTTAATGTCTACCCAAAAAAAATAATATATATAATCACTTAAGACACTGATTAATTTTATTATTATTAAAAAATAGAATTAGCAAACACGTAATACTGAACAGTATGCTAAATAATGTGTGTGTACACACACAAAATTATAAAGGAAATCTCCTGCTTTGGTTTTTATTTTTTTTTATTTTTCAAAATTATTATTATTAACTACTCATTGAAAAAATGAAATTATAGAATAGTTTCAGCCCTAAAAAAAGCCTCTTTAGAAAGTATGTTATAGGTTTTTTTATATGTCGGGTCTATAAGTCTACATGCCGATTTATTTTATATTATTTATTTTAAATAAAATAAATAAATTATTATGTTAATAATTTTGAATAATAAAGTTATATTATTTTAATTATTATTTTTAATTATTGAATATCTTATCAGCTTAAACATGCTAACAAGTCTATGCAAATGTTTTTGTTTTTTAAATATAGGTCATGTTAAATTTATAATTTGGGCCTACACAAGATAACGTATTCGGCCAGGCCTAAAATATTTTATACATGTCTGACCTATTTAAGCTAGAGCCTACCTCTGCCCAGTCTATTTACACCCCTACTTTTAACAATGGTTTTTCGTCGTTCATTGAATGTGAGTACTATAAGCATGCTTTTAACATGGGCTAATTTACATATAAAGTAGAGCCATCAAAACAGGCTATTTCATCCCTTTAGGCCCTAGCCCACACAAGCTAAGGTCAAAAATCCTGCAAATAAAAAAGCCTGCATGGGCCAAAAACCTATATAATCCCACGGGATAAGGCCAATCCACGAGCCAAAATTTCATATAAATCAATCATTTGTCATTAATTAAAATTATGACAGTAGCATACAGGCATCACCGAAACCTTATTTGAAATTATCATCCCTGATCCATCTACCACTCCCAATTTCTACTCTCCATAATCAACTATATTGGAAAGAACAATAAATCTTTACGTAATCCTCCAAAACAAGCAATCAATGAGATAAAATAAACCATGTTGCCATATAATTGAATGGGAATTAGTTTCTCTGCATAAATTATTCTCATATTACAAACTCATAAAAATGTCTCATCCAATTTTTTTTCCTTTAATGCAGTGAGTGCCACATATTTAATGGGTCTGCAAGAGAGGAATAATTTCTTCTGTAACAATAGGAGAAACTAGGAAAACCATTGCCATTTGTTCATTCCTCACTTTAACATAAATTCGTTACATTAATTATGTATTTGCTACTTCAGGAGTAATAACCAACAAAATTGCTTTAGGCTTCTTTTCAATGGTGTGAGATTTAGGGGTGTGCATGAAGCGGTTCATAACCGGTTTTAACAAAAACCGAACCAAACCGGTTTCAAAATCAGTTTACGGTTTATAATCAGTTTTGATTTAAAACCAGTTACGAACCATAAATCGGTTATCAAGTTCAAAACCAGTTTTTTAACAAATTCAAAATCGACTCTTGATGGATTGTGCTATTTTTATAAGTAGTCATTTGTTTCTCCCGGTTATAGGTAGTTGACCAACTATTTCTTGCAAGAATCTTCATTGTTTTGGAACTCTCCGGACGAAATGATTCTTATAGAAATTGTTTCAAAGGGTGAATTTATGTACTACTAGTGTAAAAAAAAATTGGGAAAATAAATTTCATCACATTTCTATAAAATAGTACTTTAAAATTTTTGTTATAATTATGTTTCCTCAATCACCATATACAACATTGGAATAGATACAAAATGTCAGGCATATTTGCTTACAAAATTAAGAGGTGATTTAGTAGCGATATGAAATTACTTTTAGAATTTTAGTAGTTTTTGAAAAAAAAAAATAACAATTTTTTATTTAATGTTTTTAAGTTTAATCAATCATTATGTTACTAGCTGCTACTTAGAAATAAATAAATGAAATGGGTTAATAGACTAACACTGTTTGAACTTTAGTCCCAGTGTCCACTGTAGTAGGACTATGTAAGGCAAATGGTGAGGGGCTGAGGGCTATAGAAACCCCTCCATCCTTTCCTATAACATCAAAAATTTCCCTTTCCTCCTTTATACTCTCTTGAGTGAATTTTGTAAGGAGTTCTCTTAATTTAATAGAGGGAAAAAATTCTTCTCTTCTTGTAATTAAAGAGATGTTGTAATTTTGGGGTTTCCCATAATAGAGTTTTGACCAAATACTAGTTAAACGAGTATAAGACTTTAATGAAATAGTGGGAGCTATTTTCTCAACAAAAGAGTTTGTGATAGAACCATGGCAACAAAGGTGGCCATTTGAAGATGAAAATTAAACATTATTGACAAAAGATAATTTCCTGGAGGCCATTAGTACCTGACCAGTGGATATCACAGATGGTAGGAAGTAGAAAAGAATTGATGGATTGGCTATTTTTGATCTAGGAAAAGAAAACAACCAAAGAGATATAGGATGATCTCACAAATTTGTATGCAGTCAAGTCACTTCACAACAAAATAATTCTCAAAAGGAAGCCTTACATATTTCGGATGTTTGAATCTACATTAGTAAGAGAGTACATTAAAACTATACTATAATAGCATAACATATGGGTCTAACCTAAGTTACGGCGACAGAGACACCATGGAAAGGAGCAACAACGACGACGCATCAGAAATCAAGAAAGTGGAATTCGATGCTTCGGAGATTGAATACGTCAATTACGGCGGCGAGCATCACCTACCTCTTGTCATAAACCTGGTCAACCAAGAACTCAGCGAACCTTACTCCATCTTCATGTACCGTTACTTCGTCTATCTCTGGCCTCATGTTTCTTTCCTGGTTCCAAAACTGTTCACTTTCCACTTTATTATCATCTGGGTGTTTCTTCAATTCCTCCTTCACCACTCAGATTTTCTCAATTTTTGTATTTTATTTATTTATTCTTCTGTGCTTGCTTTTAAGGCGTTCCACAAAGGTAAATATGTGGGCACGGTGGTTTGTAAGATAGGGGAACATCGTAACACTTTCAGAGGGTATATTGCTATGCTCGTTGTGATCAAGCCTTATAGAGGAAGAGGCATTGGTAATTTTCATATTCTGCTATTCTTTTTTATTTTTTTATTTTTTTATTTTTTCATTTCCAATTTTATGATGTGGTTATTGGAAATTTAATAAAAATGTTACTGTTATTGAAGACTGTGGGTGACATTAAATCACTAAGAGGTTTGAACCCATGTATAGAGCAGAAGAGATAAATGATCAGAATTATCAAACATAGTGGAATAAGAAAAAATTAGAATAGACTTAGTTGATGTCAGATAATGAGACAGAATGATCAATGTATGCAGAATAGTATAGGAATAAATTCGAGCCCACAAAATGTGTCTCCTTAAGACAATTTTCCCCTTCACTGATGCCAAAGGTTGATGGACACTTATATTCCAAGGTAGAACGGATTTTGTCTGAAGAGTGATGGCACTATCAGTCAACAGTCCAAACGAACACAACAATATACCAGAGGGATTACACCATAGGATGAACGAAAATATGCAAATCGGAAGGAAGAAAAAATGCGACAGAGTTTCAGTGTAGAAATCAGATTATTTTTTCAAGGGAGATCAGGGTCTATTTATCGATACTGACCGGTCACGTTGAACTGTCGTGTCTGACGGATGCGAACAGGTATGACCGGTGGCCGATTCGGTGAACAGGTACAACCGGTGACCGGTTCGCGAAAGGTAAGAACCGGTTCAGTTCAAAACGCTCAAAAAACTGGCGGGTAGAAATGTTTGGTTTTGGAAAAAAATTGGAGGGAAGCAACGGATAGTCACAGGGGTATTTTGGACAAAAAATTAAAAAATTATTTAATAAAAAATTATTTTTATTTAACACAAATGTATGAACCAAACCAACCGATCCGAGCCGAGTCGGACAGACGGACGGACGGCGGCAACGGCGCGCATGTGGTGGACCTAAGCCCACTTAGCTCCTCCCCCTCCACAAAATGTGTAGTGACCCAAGGGCCAATTTAGGAGTGTGAGGTGGGAGCTTATAAACTCTCTCACCTCCTACTAGTTGTCCAATGTGGGACTTCTTAAACCCACACACCCTTTCGACTTCCATTTTCTCTTTTCTTAACTTACTTCTTATTCATAACCAATAGATTGTCTACACAATTTATATGTAAATTTCAATAATCTCCCACATGGATAAGAAGTCAATTCATCGTGAATAAAATGCATAAGAATATAAATGCTAAGTGTAATTTTCTCAACGAGAAACAACTGCATCGAGATAGGTAGAGTTACCTTTGAACCTTCTCTAGTGAAAACCTATAGGATATACTCGGTCAATCGGTGTTCTTGGCGACTTGAACCGTCGACCTTTAGTGTATACCTAGACAATAGGAGTCACACAATTGCTTCTCTAGCATTGTTGGTCCTTTGTTGTGCCCATTTTGGCCGTGAGACACCTACCTGGTTTTGCGAGTGTTCTAGAGAATCGGCCTTTGAAAAATTCTCATAGAAGCGGACCTCACTTCACACTCACATAGGTGATTTCTTGTGATGTAACTCACTATACATCATCTGAACACAACAGATTAAGAAATCATTAAAAGCCTAAATGCTTACCCTCATAAATACATTGTCTTGTCATACGAATGAGTATGAGTTTAAAAACTCCACATTGTCTTGACAGTCGAACATCACTTAGTTGTCTCTTTGAACCTAGTTCGTGGGATCTCCACTCATCTAAGTAACTCATTCCTTTTAACAAATTGTCAACCAATTCTCTAGGAATCCATTTGGTTAATGGATCCGCTATGTTCTCTTTAGACTTAACATAGTCAATTGTAATAATTCCATTCGAGAGTATATGTCTTTCGGTATCATGTCTACGACGTATATGTCGAGACTTACCGTTATACATGACGTTCTTGGCCCTTCCAATAGCTGCTTGGCTATCGCAGTGTATGCATACGGCTGGTACCAGTTTTGGCCAATTAAGAACTTCCTCAATAAAATTATGAAGCCATTCGACTTCTTCACCAGCTTTATCGAAAGCAATAAATTCTGCTTCCATGGTTGACCTTGCAATGCAAGTCTGTTTGGATGATTTCCAAGACACAACACCCCCACCAAGGGTGAACACATATCCACTTACGTATCTAGTGTCGTTAGAGCCGGTGATCCAATTTGCATCACAATACCCTTCTATAACTGCGGGGTATTTCTCGTAATGCAAAGCAAAATTTTAAGTGTACTTCACGTATCCCAAAACTCTTACCATAGCTTTCCAATGATTTTCATTTGGATTACTAGTAAAGCGACTTAACAGACTTACTGCATAAGCAATATCAAGTCTGGTACAAATCGTAACATACATAAGGCTTCCTAACACTTGAGCATATAGCTTTTCTGTTGTAGCCTTACTAGTGTTCTTTAATAAACTAAGATTAGAATCTACGAGGTTCTTCACAGGGGTTATATTCAAACTTTTGAATTTCTCAAGAATTTTAGCTATATAGTGTGCCTATGATAAAGCCAACCCTCCAGATGTTCTATGGATTTTAATACCTAGGATAACGTCTGCTATCCCCATATCTTTCATATCAAATTTACTTTTAAGTAATTATTTGGTAGCTTTAATCATTTGATTATTACTACCCATGATCAACATGTCGTCTACATAAAGACAGACAATGGAAAATCCTTTTTCAGTATTTGGAACATAAACACATTTGTCACATTCATTTATTCGAAATCCATTTGATAACATAACTTTGTCAAATTTCGCATGCCATTGTTTTGGAGCTTGTTTTAACCCGTAAAGGGATTTTATTAAGCGACGAACTTTCAGTTCTTGTCTTGGAACAACGAAACCTTCAGGTTGTTCTAAATATATCTCTTCTTCTAGGTCGCCGTTTAAGAAGGCGGTATTAACATCCATTTGATGTATTTCTAATTCATTCAATGCATCTATCGCGATCAACATCCTAATGGATGCGATACTTGTAATAAGTGAATAAGTATCGAAGTAGTCGAGACCTTCACGTTGCCTGTAGCCTTTTACCACAAGCCTAGCTTTATATTTATCAATAGTGCCATTTTCATTCATTTTTCTTTTGAATACCCACTTACTTCCTAAAAGGCTTATTTCCAGGAGGAAGGTTTACCAATTCCCAAGTGTGGTTGGACAAGATAGACTCTATCTCACTATTGATAGCCTCTTCCCAGAATGGTGCTTCCGGGGACGTTATAGCTTCCTTATACGTCGGAGGCTCGTTTTCTAACATATACGTAAAAAAATCAGGTCCAAAGGATGTGGCTGTCCTTTGCCTCTTGCTACGTCTAGGTTCATTTTCTACATCCTCTACAGGATCAGTATTAGTTGTAGCATACCGAGGTATCATAATGTTATTATCATTATTACCACTTGATTCGTGTACTTTATTGTATGGAAATACATCTTCAAAGAAAGTAACTTCCCTTGACTCAATAACTGTATTAACTTGTATATCTGAGACATCAAATTTATAAACCAGAAACCGATAGGCACTACTATTAAGTACATAACCGATGAATACACAATCCACGGTTTTAGGTCCGATTTTCAACCTTTTAGGTTTAGGAACTGCAACCTTAGCCAAGCACCCCCACACTTTAAAGTATTTCAAGGATGGTTTCTTTTTTTTCCATATGTCGTATGGTATGCTCTTTGTCCTTTTGTGAGGCACTCTATTTACAATGTAGTTAGCCGTCAAAATGGCTCCCCCCCCACAAATTCTGTGCTAAACTGGATGTAATTAACATAGCATTCATCATTTCTTTCAATGTCCGATTTCTCCTTTCTGCAATCCCATTTGATTGCGGTGAATATAGAGCTGTTGTCTGGTGTACGATACCAGACTCTATACAGAATTCCTCGAAGGGGCCATCGTATTCTCCCCCATGATCGCTCCTTACTATTTTAATTTTCTTGTTAAGTTGATTTTCAACTTCACTTTTATATTGCTTAAAAGCAACAATAGCTTCATCTTTACTATTAAGTAAATACACATAACAATATCTACTGCAATCATCGATAAACGTAATAAAGTATTTCTTATTATCCCTAGATGGTGTAGATTTTATGTCATATATATCAGTATGTATTAAATCTAACAACTCAGTTGATCTTTCAATCGATTTAAAAGGTAATTTCAGAAATTTTGATTCAAGACATACCTGACACTTTTTATTTATACATTCGAATTTAGGTAGTAAATTTAAATGAATTAAATTCTTAATTGATTTTAAATTAACGTGTCCTAATCTATTATGCCATAAATTAGAAGACTCAAGCAAGTAAACAGAAATAGTAGTATTATTAATATTATTGGAATTGTTTACAGTCATCACATTCAGATTGAAAAGGTCCTCACTAAGGTAACCCTTTCCTACATACACATCATTCTTAGTAAGTACAAACTTATTAGAAACAAATACAAGTTTAAAGCCATTCTTGCTTAACAGAGATCCAGAAACTAGGTTCTTGCGAATATCAAGTACATGAAGCACATCATTGACTGTCACTATCTTGCCAGATGTCATCTTCAAAGCCACTTTTCCCACACCTTCAACTTTTGAAGTAGATGAATTACCCATAGAATATTTCTTCTTCTTTGACTTTGATCCCTCTTCAACCACATAAGCCTTAGAGACCATAGGTTTGTTGCCATTCCTCTTATCATAAATTTTATTATCTTCCTCTATCCTCAATCTCATAATCAGCTCTTCAAGTCACAATTCTTTGCGCTTATGCTTGAGATAATTCTTGAAATCTTTCCAAGAATTTGGTAACTTTTCTATGAAAGCAGCAACTTGGAAAGACTCATTAAAAGACATTCCTTCTGCATGAATTTCATGCACAATCACTTGAAGTTCTTCAACTTGACTCACAACAGATTTGGAGTCTTGCATCTTGAAGTCCAAGAATCTCCCAACTATGAATTTCTTTAAGGCAGCATCCTCAGTTTTATACTTCTTGTCAAGACTATCCTATAGTTCCTTACTAGTTTTTAGGGTACTATACACATTATACAGTGTGTTGTCTAGACCATTGAGAATATAGTTTCGGCGAAGGAAGTCAGAATACTTCCAAGCATCAATAACAGCAACCTTTTCCTTGTCAGGCTGTTCTCCCTCATCTAGTTTAGGAGCATAT